ATACTATGATACGCTTCTTGTCTAGTCTTCTCAATGGTTAGTGAGCGCTAAGATTGGCTTTACTTTACTTCTAGACTTATTACACCACCACAGGACATCAAATTAGATTTAGAAAAACACTATTTTATTTTCAGAATGCATTTCGGACATAGAGTCCCTCATCAGCTATTTGCTACAAAAATTAATAGGAGGTTTTATAAAATTGTTAACCTCCTATTAATTTTTGTAGCAAATAGCTGATGAGGGACTCTATGTCCGAAATGCATTCTGAAAATAAAATAGTGTTTTTCTAAATCTAATTTGATGTCCTGTGGTGGTGTAATAAGTCTAGAAGTAAAGCCAATCTTAGCGCTCACTAACCATTATAGATCTGTAGTTTTGTGGAAGCTTCTCATCTTTTTTAAACAACATATACAAGATAACCATGTTCCATTCTTCTGAATTCCCACTCATATTATACAAATTGTTAAATTCTGACTAAAAATTTTACAATATTTGTTGGCAATTTTTTAATTACAAAATTGGAAATTAAGTCATAACTTCGAGCAGTATTATATTTCAGCTTTCTTATATTAGTACTTTAATTAGTCACATTAAATAGTTCTTCATATTATTGTCTATTATTAATATTATTAGTAAATAATATTTTTAATATTATTGTACTAGTTGTTTCATAGTAGAAAAATTCTTAGTTTTTCTGAATTTGTTGATTACATTAAATATTTATTTGATTCTGAGATATTACATATAAAACTCTAAATATTTAAAAATATATTCTGTTATTTTTAAGATATATGTCATTTTAACATTGAAATTTCTTTGTAATATTAGAATAATGCATTTTTGATCAAACTACTATAAAATGAACCTCTGGGAAATGTGGCAAATTTGTTAAATAGAAAACACATCATTTATCAGAAGAAAATGCTGTACAGTACATTTTAATGGTATTTTATTCTATAAAAATTAATTAGAAGGTACAGTGTTTTTTTTATTGAAATTGAGAAAAAACATTATGATCGAAACAATAAGTATTCTTATAGGTATTTATATTGAAAAATAATCAATAATCTTTGCATATGTATTTTATTTTATCAAAAGTTATTGTAAGTGAACAATTAGAATTTTTAATTATTAAATAAAATTAGATCTAGAATGTTTCCTTGCCAAAGGAACTTTTCTTACAGTTTTGAATGTATGTCCATTCAGAAATACATTCATAACTAGATGACGGTTATGAATACAGTATAATATCTGTATTGTATTTTTAGTAGCCAGTTGGCAGCAATAGTTGCAAACTGAGTCATATTAACCAGTTTTAATATTTATCAACATGAAGAATAATTTTTATTTTTCTGGTTTTTAAAACTTTGTTATATAGAAATTAAACTTCATTAAGTAGGGCCATTTTTAAATGTAAAAAAGACACATTTTCATTGTTCTTAGAAAAATTTGTTAAAAAGAGAAATACATTAACATAGAAGTTTATTATATGAAAGTTTGAGTGTATATCAATATAAAATATTCTGTGGATGTTAACTATGATTAAATGCTCTGATATATAAAATTTTAAGATATTAGTAATTGCCATTATTATTTTTATTGTAAATGTTATAATTTATTAATTTATTTAGATTAGGAAAATTAAGTGAACAGTTAGCTCAGTGTCGTGCAGATCTGATAGAAAAAGAAAATCAACTTTTTCAATGTGAAAAAGAAATTTCAAATATTGAATTATCATCAGATTTAAATCCAATGTAAGTTGTTATTAAATCTATTTTAATAAAATTATAGTTGTAACTGTTTCTTCTTGTCAGATGTATAAAAAATAAAGTATTTTTTAAATTTATAGTATATTTCATATATTTATATATAATGTATTTAATAATTAATTTTAATAATAATTATGGTAGAAGTTTGGCACCTACAGGGGCCAGAGGTGTGCTGGAAAATGCTAGATTACTGAACAGTTTTGTATTTTTTTTTCTTCTGTAAAATTTGATAAGTTATGTGATCTGATTTATACACATGGTCTTCAATCAGTCTGAAGATGATACAGTGCATGACTATATTGTGTTAAGATTGGTTGAAAAACTTACAGAAAAGTTGATGAACATATTATTGCCTAGGGTCTTTAACACATCATGTATCCAAACAAATTCTGATTCATGGAATATTAGCATGCCAAATTATTATCAGATAATTCTGGATTATCAGATATTAAATTGACAAACTTTTATTGTATACATTTATAGCACACATAAAATAGTATATTTCAAATTTTTATTTTGACAATGCAAAATGTTAAAGCATTGCAATTTAATATTTATCTAGACACAATGAATTAGTTCTTATTCTGTCTGTTCTTTATAATGCTATTAGCTAATTCACATAAGGATATTTTTATGCTTTACTAGGAACATATTACTTTTGTAGGAGTGCAAGCAAAAAATGAGAAGTGCTAAAAATTTAGCAATTAGAAAAAGGATAAATTAATCTTCTAGAAATTCAGCAATATCAGAATATATTAAGAAATCAAATCAGCAATCACAGAAGTTTTTAAGAAATGGATTTTTTCTGAGAAAAAACAGATACTGAAGCACAAAATGACTACTAATCTTAACACTGCATTGAGTAACATCAATCCACAAAACCTTTTTATAACAGTGTTGTGACGTCGTTTACTCACCACCTGAAGCAGATCTTGGAGGAGGTCAAAAACCGTTTGTGAAGATTGTTATAGGACACAACACTGTTATAAAAAGGTTTTGTGGATTGTAGATACTGAAACAAAATTTATTAAACATATGGTAATATTAGGCATGTTATGAGAGTAGTGATAAATAACAATTTATATTGAATAATAAGTAATCCAACTTTGTGAAATATTTCAATTTCTTTTCTAGATTTTTAACAAAAATTTTACAAATTAAATTGAAGAACATTGTTGAACATCTAAACTATAACAAATGAAACACTGTTATGCAGATAATAGCGAGGTTGAGGCTGAAGTTTTAAATGCGAAAACATGTACGTCGGTCGTTCAGCACCACTTTCCTGTAAGCCTAGAAGTTTGACAATGGTGTTTGGATAGTCAGTGGAATCATGCTCAACATTTCAAACACCATTGTCAAACTTCTAGGCTTACAGGAAAGTGGTGCTGAATGTCTGACGTACACATTTTTCTGTTTAAAACTTTGGTCTCAATCTCGCTAATAGAAAGACTGAATTGGACTTTAAACCATATCTTGTATTGACATATTAAGTAGAAAGACTATTTAATGATGACTAAATGAATCTGGATAAGATTAATAATGTTAATAATTAAATGACAAGTACATCTATTAGCATGATTAAGGTATAATGTAATCTAATCTAACCTTAGCACTAATTAGAAATTGGTGAGGTGATACAACCCCTGGAAAAAGTTCTGAAACAGCAACAGCTATGCAAAAATTATTGATTGCAGGTTTTTGTTTTATTTGTTAACAAATAATCCTATAGTAATAAAAATTCTGGAATTTATTTCTAGTGATAAGAGCTTTAATTATGCAAAAATCACACTAATAAAATAATTATTAGTGTGATTTTAAAGTATTTAATGTAATTATAAAGCAATTATTTATTGTGACATTGTCACAATGCCAGGCTGCAATTTAATTTAAAATATATGCTCTCTGCCTCAAATTAGTACTATAGTGTCTTGCCTCTGTACATCATACTTTTCCTTTAACAATAGAGTCATGCTAGTCATCTATTAACTGCTTTCAGAGGAAGTTTTGAATTGAAATAATGTGACTTCTAGTTTGCATCGGAAATTCCTATATAGTTAATCAGGGCCTGTTGCTTCTAAGGTCCTTATCTTGTCTCTGATTTCATCTATCTAACTTTGTTCTCAAGATTAAGGAAAGACAGACAGATGTACAACAGTGGTCTACATTTTTTTTAAATTGCACTCAATATAAGAAAAGAAAAATCTTGTTCAATCCTAGTCTGGAAAAAGTTTTTGAACATAGTAGAAAAAAATGAAATGAAAATTCTTTCTTATTTTATTGGGCCTCCTTTGCTCTTAATAACAGCTTTAATGTGGGATGGCACTGATTTAACAAGTTCTGAGCAATAGTCATCATTAATTTTCTTCCAACTCTGTAATAAAGCAGCTTTCAATCAATTCTTTCTTTGTGGTATATTATCTTCATCCACTGACATTTTCAGTTTAACCCACAAATTTTAAATAATCTTTAAATAAGGACCATTTTGTGCTCAAGACAAAGTTTTAATGTTACTCTTTTTCAAAAATTCTTTTACATTTTTCATATAATGACCATTTGCATTATCATCATGGAAAACAACTTCCTTATTCCAAAGTTGATTTTCCACCACAGGAATTAGAAGTGTCCAAAATTTTTTTGTACACTTTGCCATTTACAGTTTCTTTTAGAGTATACAGTTTTCTCTTGCCTTTTGCCGACATTCAGCTCCATATCATAAGACTAACTGGAAATTTTTTCTAATGTAAAAAATATTTTTGTTGAAACTTCATCTGCTTTGTGCCACACAAATTGTTTAGTAGTGTCTTCGCAACCAGCAGAACATCTGCTTCTAACTGAAAAAATAACTTTCTCCCAATTATTAATGGTTCACTTTTGGTATTGCCTTGCCTTTTCCAGTCATTTTTTAAGTATTGTTTTGTCATGAATGGTTTTGTTTTGGTTTTACAAAACTTATAGCCCATCTTATTTAATCAGTTTCAAATAGTATGATTACAACATTGACATTATGAACATTTCACTTAACATTTAATTCTTTTGATGTGGCTTTTCAGTTTTGTAGTCAAATGTGTCTTATGGTTCAATCTTGATCCTTGCTTGTTGCACTCAGTCAACCAGTTCTCTTCAATGTTTTTACACTTTCAGATTTCTTCCTTGTGTAATTTACTATTGAAACAGATGTATGCAATACTTTCAAATGACTAATTTGTACAAACTAATGTGATTATTATTACAGAGTGTTTTAACACATTGTTTTTCTTACTATGTTTGAAAGCTTTATTCCCAAGATGGGAATGTTTGAAAACTTTTTTCAGACTAGGATTGAATAAGAATTTTTTTTTGTATACCAAGTTATTTTTCTAGTGTGATATTTTGTATAATAGAAGCTCTTATCGTTAAAAAATAAACTCCAGAATTTTTATTAGTCTAGGATTATTTGTTAACAAATGAAAAATTCTTGCAATTAATAATTTTTGCTGTTGCTGTTTGAAAACTTTTTCTAGGAGTTGTAGTACAGGGAATTTTCAGTTTCAACAGTATTATTAATAGTATCTATGCATTTTAATAGAACTTATCTTATTTCTGTTATATTTCTAAACTGTTGTTCAATTATATTAAATTAACCTGCATATTATACAGTATGAATAACTATTATTTACATCTTGAAAATTTATGTTCTACATTATCATCCTGAAGGTCTGTTACAAACAGTTTTTATGACTGATCATGAACTATTTTTGATCATTATAAAATTCATCTTTTATATGTATTTAATTTTATATATTCATACAATAACATTCAAATACTATAATAAACAAATGATGCATTCTTTTGAATTTTTCAATTAGGATTACAGTCAAGCAAAGAGCTATTGACATTTTAAAAAGAGAAATTGGAGAATTGAGATGCAGAGAAGAAAGACTACAACGTCAATGGGAAGTCATTGATATTCCATTATCATCACTTGGTCCCAATGGACCACCTCCTGGTTTAGAACTGGATGATGGCTTAAATGAAGATCAGGTGAGGGAAAAAATAATTTAATTATATTAAATGATGATTAAGAAACAGTTTTGTAATAAAATGAATGTATTTACCATATTTTTGCATATTGTCTGTCATGTTGGTCTATCTGGGGATACCACAAAATAAGTTATTTCTATATGATAAAAACCAGCATGCCAGTTTAAGTGAAGTTATACATTCCTCAAGAGGACGCATGAAACTCATAGATGCCAGTTTTCATTCTAAAATTGTGAAACTGTCGACATTACATCAAAAACTGTGATTATATGTTTAATTTCTGCATTTTGTCTTTTTTCTTACAATAAAATACTCATGAAATGCAAAAAGTGCTTCTTTTTATGTTTATTTTTTGTAATTTGATTGAAAAGGCAAAAATAAACATATCAAATTTCAGAAACTCGCTGTACATTATCTCAACTTACACTGATTAACATCTGATTTGTGTAAAATTTGAAAGGAAGGTGTTATATTTCAAGATCATGGAAGATTGTCAGTGCAGCCTATACTGACTAACTACTACTACTAATGTCAATAAGCTGCTAAACTCTCTTCCTGGTTTTAAATCAGTCAAATTACAATGTTATCATTTTATTGTACTTCTAAGAAAGTTTGCTTTAACATTTATTTAACAACAAACTTTGTAGATTTGATTTTTATTTTTTAATTGCAGTTTAACTGGCATGCCGATAACCCCTGTTATATGGGGCATAACTATAAATTCACAAAAATATAGTATATATTACAATTGAAAATGCCTTTATAGGGAATAGTAAATCTAACAAAAGTTATAATTATATGTATATAAAGTTGAATGATTTCCATTGTTTGTTGTCTTTCATCAATGCATTAAGAGCTAACCACTAAAATTGAAGACAAATTCTTTACTAAGATTCAACTGTAAAGTTTTACAGTTTTATGTATAGCTGTTAATGCATTGATAAAAGTTTAAAATTTTATAAGCTTTGATGCCAGTAACATAAAAAGCTTGGAAACAAATCAAGTTTAATTGTAATTTTTATTTTATTTAAACTAAGGACGTCTTAATTATATGAAAGACAAAAAAATTATTTTTTGACATAGATTTTATAAGGCTAAAGATATTTACAAGAATTGTTATAAATTACAAAAATACTGTATGTTGAGACCATTATGAAGCATCAAAATAAATAAATAAGGCTATAATTAATTGAAATTCTGGGTTTGTTGACTCTTTAAAAGAACATATTAAAACAAATAAGAAATGATTAACATGAAGACATATTTATTATAATAATTATTATTAATTAAGTATAATAGTAATTCATTTAGTTTTATTTGTCTGCTGGATTTGTAATGTATCTTTAACAACATTTAGCATATAATTAAAGTAGGAAATATCAACAGTTTAAAACCAGTGTGAGAAAATAATGAGTAAAACACAATAATATTAAATATTTAAAGCATTGCTTAATACAGATAAAGATAGTAAGATTTTATCTATAGTTGATGGTATTAATGTGAAAAGTTAGTTTTTGTTATCTATCTAAAGACTATAACTGTAACAAAACTCTTGCTACAGCAAGTTTATTCTACTGCATATAAAATGTCATAGGTAGAATAATAGACTATTTTCTTAAAAACACAAAAATTAATTTATTGATGAAAAAACCTAGTTAAATAAAATTAGTTTTATTGAATGTTGAATGATTTTATTGTTTCTTTCATTCATTTAAAAAGTTGGAATGGCTTGTTTCTATTTGATGACAAGTCTTTAACAAAATATCTTTGTGACAATATATATTGTCACAAAGCAGTTATTGATTTTGTTGACCTAATGACCAACATAAAACGTTTGAATGGATGTACATTTTTTAATAGAAAAAATGAAATGCTTTAGAATGGCAAAATGGAATGCTGAACATGTTATCAAAACTCAAAATCTCAAAAATAGTAAAATACCTTATATTTTATGAGATATTTATCTTCATAGAACATAAACTATTTTACTTTTAAAATTTGATCTTATCACTTGTATCAGCTAATTTAAGCATTAGTTGATTATCATTAGCAGTAACCAATCAATTCTACAAAGCATCAGAAAGATTTTTTAAAATGTATTGCAATTTATTTCTTTCTTTAATTCTTTGTATCCATTTTTAATAAATCTCTCTCTCTCTCACTGTGTGTAACTTGTGCTATGTTATAAACTTGATGTTTATGGTATGACATGCAGACTATACATTTTATTTTACTGGATTTACAAAACAACTGTTAACAACCACATTAATTGTTAGATGATCAGAAAGTAATATTTTAAGCATTTTGCATATTGATAGTTAGTTTCTTTACATATAGATATTTTACTGTGTTTTAGTTATGTTTTATGACATTGGTTTGGTGTTTTGAATCAACATTGTAACTCATTATAATTTTTCTCATTTAAAATAACAGGAAATAGCCTTCTGGTTTGTGTTTTTGCACAGAATGGATAGCTAACTTTAACCAAGGATACCTGTATTTATTTTTGTATTTCTTACTAATGGTGCATAAATTATAGCTATATATCTTTTATTATGTTAATTGTTTTAATTATGATTAATTTTAAATAAAATGTCTTCTTAAATTTAACTTTTATAATGCTTTCTGTAATCATTTTTAAAATTTTTATTTAAAGAGAGAAGAATCGCCAAGTTTGAGTTCATTTGGAAGAAAATCTGCACGACTAATTATGAGTAAACTTCGCCATCCATTTCATACACTTAACAAAAAGGTAAACCTAAATTTTTTATTATTATAAAATAAAAATATAAAAACTAGGAGTTAATACACTTTGATAAAATATTAATTCTCTTAACTGTATATTGAATTTAAAAAATTATACCATTTTTAATAAATATATTTTTAAATACTAGAAAAATGACAATAGCTTTAGTATGATTATTATGATATAATTTTATTTAACATCCTAAGAATTTTTATTGTAAGAACTATAAATTATTGAGATTCTAAAATATATTCCTTATTATAAGCTAAAAATTAATATAAAATATATCAAAAGAATTTTAATAAAAATATAAAGAGTAACAAAATGATTTTTTTAAAATCTTACTATATAAAGCTGAAAAACTGGATTCTTTCTTTCTTTCTGTCACTGTATGCCAAAAATGGCCACTAGGGGTGCCACTAGCTATTACTTAAATTAACAATAAATTCAGTATATTATTATTTGATGTGGTTTTTTGCATTTTTGGCTGCGTTTTAGTAGGGTACACCATGAGAAATTCAGTATATTATTATTTTTATTTGTAATAGGAATTTATTATTTATACCACGGAATGACACTGCTTCTGCTAGAATGCCCACTAGGTGACATCCCGGGCTACTAGAATAGAAGAATTAGAAGTATGAAATAATTTAATAATCTTAATCTTTGTTGTTGTTTTTTGCCTGGGCAATGCCGGGCTCATCTGCTGGTATGATAATAGAATGCAACATGTTTGACTACAAGGGCAGTCATTTAAATTTGTTAGTTGATGTTGGACAATTTTAGTATAAGAATTTTAACAGTTCAGAGAGTATGAAGACAGTTGAACTTCTGCATAATTGTCTTCAGAAACATCAAGAATTTATTATTTATTATATAGAAAATTTGTTAAATGGAAAATGCACTGAAAGTGAAAAAAAACAAGTACAGTAGAGCATTGATTATCCGACTCAATTGGGGACTGGGGTTGGTTGGATAATTGAAAAGTCGGATAACCAAAAAGTATGAAAAAATCCATTATTAGTGTAGTATATTATTATATCCCATGTAATTAGTATATTAGTATATCACTATTAACCTACTTTGCATTGAATTTTCCTCCATGTTAAGCCTAACAAAAATTTTTTAAAAATAATAATCGTCAGTATTGTATTGTTAAAAATTATTTTAAAATTATTTTATTGCTCACAAAACAAACAACCACTCATAATTACAAAATTAAGCCTCGTTTAAATACTTGCCTCCCTTTCATGGTCGAGCCAGTGTTGCCAGCTAAAACACATAAAAGTACTATTAAAGTAGCCAAGACAGCCAAATATTGTAGCGCCATGGAAAGCATGCAAATCCATGCTTTCATATAGCATGGATTTGCATAATCTGGCACTTTTTCAGAATTTAACTACCATGTTATATGAGGGATACCTGTATGTGGTTTCCACCTTAACTACTCGACAGTGAGGGATGGATATATCTGTCCAGGGCGATTGTGTGGCAGTGGTGAGGGATGGATATATTCATTAAATTCTTTTGGGGGTATCACCAAAAACTACTGCAAAAAAAAATTCATGTAAAAAATGAATTATGTAACAATGAAAAAAACTTTTTTTTTACTAGACATAGCTGTTTACAAAATCTTTTTCTGAAATGGTAATGAGAAAAAATGCATGGAAAAATACTTTAAAATTTTTCCATGTTTATTCTCTACTACTGTGGGATAGCACCATAACTGACTATCCATATGTTGAAAGGTTAAATTAGTACTGTAGTAGATTGTGCCTGTACATCATACTTTTCTGTTAACTATGGAGCTGCTGCTGGTCATCTATCTAACTCCTTTCAGGGAAAAATTTTTGAATTGAAATTATGTATCTTCCAGTTTGCATTGGAAGTTCTTATATAGTTAGTCAGGGCCTCCTGTCCCTAAGCTTTCCATATCTCATCTTGAATTTCATTTATCTAACACAATTTCAAGATTAAAAGGAAAGACAGACTGGAAATTTATAGGTGTACAATTTTTTCAAATTGCAATCCAATGATGGTCATGGAGTTGTGCAGTGATGGTCTGGGAACATCCATCTCATATTGAGAAATGTCCAAGAGCCCCTTACAGTCTCTTCTTCCTTTAGTCCTAGCACCAAGTGTGTTTTTCCTTTTTGTTTTTTCTTCTGTTCTCCCTTCTCTTTCCTTTCCTGGTAACCTATTTTTGCCCATTTGTTTCCATCAACGTGCTCCTTCCTGTACCTTGCTGATTTCCAAGGAAACAGGCTCAGACCTCTCTACTTTCTTTGTTTAGGAAGGAAAATAATGTCACCAGATGGTCGTAAGGCCTTCCAAGAAGGCCACTAATAATTACTGCCATGGCAGTAACAAGTCATTAAAAATGGTAGCAAGCAAAATCTGACAATATATTTATATATACATTTTTTTCTTTTATTTTTAGAACTCACCCGAATCTCCATCTCCAACTGATGAATATAGGCAATGCTGTACAGGAAGTTCCTCGGGAAGTGATCCAATCACTTCTTATCATGGAAGTAATCTTGTAAGTACTTATTTATGTATATAATTTTAAAAATTCTGAAACTTTTAATTGCCATATTCTAGAAAATTACATAGATGTGAATGGAAGAAAGCAAAAAATGAATTGCAAATGAAAAATTTTTTACTTTATCATTCTTGTGAATAGCAGTTTTGAAAATGAAAATAAAAACAAATTAAATTATTGTTCTTTTGAATAACTGTTTTGATTTTTGTTTTAATCACAGAAATTAGTTTATTGGTATAGTGACTTTTTAGTGTACTGCACATATGTTTAAATTATGGAAATTTAAAATAATATGTAGTAATCATATTTATAGAAAGTGTGAGATGCCGGGAGGGTTGAGTTATCTCTTTAAACTGTCCCGTGTTATTCCTGAGAATTCTCAGGGTCATGACTTCTGACCTCGACCGGTGGACCTGAGATATCTCATTACAGTATCGGTACGTTTTTGGAACTAGATATCTCAAGTTGTATTTTTGTATTAAAACTAACTTCCAAAATATAAATTTTCTTTGTTTTTATACTTATTAATATATCTATTTTGTTTGTGAAAAATAAAAAAATAGTTTTGGACAATAAAATAGCCATGATTACTTTCTTAAAAAACATGTTGTAATTTTTGTAAGGCTTAACATTGACAAAATTCAACTTGGTGGCACAGGCAATGGAGAAGAATTTCAACATTGGATAGGTTAACCCCCTTGTCAATGTTGGAACAGTTAGGCCTGCTCATGTTGTCACTGGATGCCTTTTGTTAGCAGGTTGACCTAGATCGGAAGATCTTAAGTCAGATTCTTTTTCTGACACCAGTTAAGAAATATCACGTCTTAACTCGCATTTTCTCTAGACGTCTTAACATTGTCATCTAATATCTAGTTCAAGCGATGGAGTCGGGGGTAAGTCAACAAGACTCCAATTTCTGAATAAAAACAGATTAACAAATTTCAAAAGTTTAATGAACAAAAATAAAGTAATGATAAATTACAAAAGGATTAAATATATCTAGTTCGACAAACTAGCTACTTATAACTAAGTCGACCGAGAGAAAGAGTTTACATAAATCTCTAATTACCATACCTCATGAAGACAACCTGATGTATTCTGATCTTGTTGAGGTTGGTAGTAAGGAGGCTTCTCTGGAAATAGCATTTGATGGAATCGTTTGGTGTCTGCTTTGGAGGGGAGAGGAGATGAGAGCTGATGAGATGTTCAGAAGTGGGGGGAGAGCCCACCCTGAACCTTTGGTGCGAATGCCTTATATCTCTGACAGTTCTCACTAAGTGTGAGAATTTTGTCAGGTCTCTGTCACAACTGTGCCCTGTGGGCTGTCATATGATTTTGTCATGAGATGGTGATGACTTGGACAAAGGTTTATTTCTCTTGTGTTTTTGTTTAAGTATTGCACAACACACACACACACACACACCATCAGTCATTATCATTTGTTAATCTAAACATTTCCACCGGAAACAAAGGGGGAGTCTCCAGGATCTCACAAAAGCATCATGAGATGTTAGTTTAATAACCATTTTTTCATTTTGTTTGCTGAAGATTGTTGATTAATCATCTATGGGCATATAATTTTTTTGCTTTTGTACTTATTTTTACTTACTTTATAACATTACAATAGCAACTCTCTTAGGTCTATTATTGTATTTTTTGGTGATAATTAACATTTTTTAGATTGTGCAAGATGTTCTGAAACATAATCTCTGTATAAATTAAGATACTTTAGATATAATTATATTGAAAACATATATTCCCTTTATAATTTATTGTGAAAAAATTATATCAAGATTTAATCACCAAACATATGCCGTAAATCCATCGGGCTAGTTTTAAGGCTAATTACTAAATAAATAATGAAATTAATTTGGCACTAGAGGTAAGCGTTAGGCGCCATCTCTTATTAATATTAATAATTATAAATAAATTAATTAATTTAAATAATTTAGAACCGCTGGGAGAAAAAAGTAGGATGTGGGCACTGAATGTGTCCCCAGCCGGCATTGTAATAACCGTCGATGGTTACATAGTTATACGCTGGAAGAGGAGATCGGATCGGAGGTCCGGATAGCGTAACTGGCAACGCATCTGCACGGTAAGCAGGAGTTGTGGGTTCGAGTCCCGCTCCGGGCCGATTTTTTCTCCCAGCGGTTCTAAATTATTTAAATTAATTAATTTATTTATAATTATTAATATTAATAAGAGATGGCGCCTAACGCTTACCTCTAGTGCCAAATTAATTTCGTAATTTATTTAGTAATTAGCCTTAAAACTAGCCCGATGGATTTACGGCATATGTTTGGTGATTAGCTATATTACATCGGGTTTAGCGATGTTTATATATATCAAGATTTGTTGGTGAAATTTTTAACTTTTTATTATAAATAGAAATTTTATTCTATTGTTTTGGCAATGATGATGATTACATTTTTATTTAAAAAATATCTTATTTTCTTTCTTTCTTTTCTCAAAGTAAATGTTTGTTTTATATCTTTGCTGAAAGTAACATTTTTTCTAAAAAATAAAGTTAACTTTTGAAATTTTCTGTTGATTTCAATATTATCTATTCAAATATTTACAATCTGTTAAAGGTGAAGTTAAAATCAATTTTTTTTCTAAAGATTTAGAGACTGGTCTTCTCCAGTCTTTTTATTTCAATTACTCTTTGATTGTTCAGATAATGTTCATGTCAATAGAAGAGAAGAGAACTTTTGTGTCAGAATATGATTCTTCTTTATGAATGACTTTCATATTATGCAATTTATTTAATCATTTGAATTATATATTAAATTACACATAAATAAGACATTTGTGAAATAAAATCTAATTCCAAACAATTGAAAACTATGGTTATCATAAAATCAAAGATATAATAATTACTTCACCATAAAGTTTTACATTTTTATAAAAATGATAAAATGAATGCAAACAAAAAAGTTGTTTAATGCTATATAAGCATTAATGATATCTTAATTAATTTAAACATTTTGAAATTATAGAGTGGAATAAAAACTGGAGTATTGTTCAGTAGCTCAATATAGTTTTCATAATTCTCAGAAAGTTATAAATTAACAATATTGATTTGACCAGATGACCAAATTAGTTAAGGAGTCAGCCTACTGCTCTGAGGGCCAAGGATTGAATCCAGATGGTGAAGAACCCCAGGAATTTTTCAGAGGGTGGTCTATCAGGATGTGTAGGACCCAATCTCCACCATTGGGCCATCTCCACTGTGTACTTAGTGAACTCACAATGGGTATGGAAAATTGCCCTCTTAGTGTCCCCATGATAAAAAGAGTAAAATATATATGTTATGGACAAAATGGTTAATCGGATATTATGAATAATGACCAAAGGGCACGCAGTGTGATAAATATTGGTTAAATTATCAAATTGACCGGTCATTATGAATACTGCTATCACCTAGGTGGACAAAGTGATGATAATACTTTGAGGAGTAATCATCTGACATACACTAGCCAATTGGCACTCTTAGTTGTGTGTGTGTATTGCGTTTAGTTTGAATTTTAAATTTATGCAACCAATAGTTAATCTTGTGCGACATTTTAATTTAATTAAAGACTCCACTTATTTCATTTAGAAATATTTATTTTTTGTGAATTATTTCAAAGTATTTTAAAGAGAACATGTAATCTTTTAAAACTAAGTACTATTAACTATATTAATTAAAAGGTAAAATTATACCTATGTGCATCGTCATGCACATAGGCGGTTGTGACTGTTTGTGCTCTTGACGGATTCCTCTCAGGAGGGGAGCCACTGGCAGGCCGCCTATTGTTTAATGTCACTAGTTATTGATACGTGTGTTCAAGAACTACCGTGAATCAATAACTAGTGAAGTTAAACAATCAGCAGTCTGCTGGTGGCTCTCCTCCAGGAGGAGTCTGTCGGGAGCACAAACAGTCGCGACTGCTGCCAAATTCGGTACTAAACACAATACACACGTACAACTCAGATGTGAGTGCTGATTGGCTAGCATATAATCAGATGATAACTCCTCAAAGTATTATTATCACTTTGTCCAACTAAATGATAGCAGTATTCATAATGACCAATCAATTTGATATATTATTGAAATTTATTACAATGACTGATTTTTGTTGGTTATTATTCATAATGCCTGTATTAATATCTTTGTCCATAATATATATATATATAAGACCAGCAATATATATATATATAATTGTTTTGAAGGCACATGAACTTTTCAAGATTCATAATTTTAAATTTTTAATTAAAAAATAGAAATTTCATACATTATCACCTTATCAATAAGTAAAATATGAATAATTGTTGTATGATTTTTTTTAGAAATGCCAACTTAATGTATATGAAACATTGCAAAGCCCGATATGTATATAGAAACATAACCAAACAATTACCTTAAATAATCGACCTTAAATTAGCGGAGTTATAGCCTGATTATTTAAGACGATCATTTGATTATATCAACTTGTTGTATTATTTAGCATAAATATTTTTTAAGTTTTAACATAAATACTGTTTTTATTAATTCAGCATCATCAATTTAATATATTTTCATATTCAAAATACAAAAAAAAAATAGTAAATTTTGCTTATTGAAGTACTTAAATGAAAAAATTCTTACATTTTAGTTATTTTACTCATCTTCAGAAATATTATATTAAGAACAAAATTTCTTAAATTCCAAAAAATTACTCTAAAGATTTTGTTCCTGTGTAATAGTTCTGTATAATAATAATAATGTTAGATAGTAAAAATATTAGCATATATTAGTAAGTACTTTAATAATATAAAAATAAAAAATATTTTAATTTTTTGTATAAATTATAATTAATTTTATTTCCTTACTAATAATTTTTATACGGCTCTTTTTTAGATGTTATCTGTTCCTCATAAGAATTTACAAGAAGAAGAATGGTTTCATGGAGTACTTCCACGAGAAGAAGTTGTACGTCTTCTTGTAAACGATGGTGATTTTCTTGTGCGTGAAACAACTAGGAATGATGAGAGACAAATTGTTGTTTCAGTTTGTTGGAAAGGACATAAACACTTTATTGTACAAACAACATTTGATGTATATCAAAAAATTATTTATAACTTTTTGTCATATCAATTTTGATAAAAAATATTTTAAAAGTTAAAATAATAATGATAATTTCAGGGAAAATATAGATTTGAAGGACCTGCATTTTCTACAATTCAAGAATTGATAAATTATCAGCATCAGTCAGGCCATCCTATTACAAGTCGATCAGGAGCAATTTTGGCTAATCCTGTTCATCGCGAAAGATGGGAATTAAGTAATGATGACGTGGAATTAATTGATAAAATAGGACGTGTAAGTTTCTAAATACTTTAACCATTTTATCCATAATAATTTTAATCACTAATAAATAAATAATATAAAAAATATTATTATTATTTTGGTGNTATATATATAAAAGACTGTTTTTCTAAGTAATCTAGAATCTAGCTGCAAGGACCCGCTTCGCTGGGCAAAAAGTAACGATAGTGAAGATTAAGATAATTACATTATAGCTAATCTTACCCGTTTTCACAAAATGCAAGAATTAGGTCCCCCGTTTCCAGACTAATTAAAGAATTTTTACGTTTAGTCGAACGAACAAATTTCAACGTTTCTGGAACGTTTTCAATCGTTCTATAATCGAACCAATTCGAATTTTATGTTCGAATTTAATTCGAACAAATTCGAAAAAAATCGAACAAAACATTCGAAATAGAAAGCCACTTTCAGCCTCATATTTCCCGCACCCTTATAGCTATCGAGATGCAACCACCCCTATGCACGAATGGAGACTTGGGGCTACCACCACATACAAACACCAGTCACGTGCGATGTGTAGTTTTGGCGAAAAAGTGAAATATAGGGACATACATGTCCATTTTTATATATATATAATAAAAATAAATAATAATAATAATATATATAGATATAGATATAGATATAGATTATTATGGTTGTTGAAATACTGTATATAAATGGAGTTTGCTTGCAAAACCTCCGCGGGCGAAGTCGCGGGTAACAGCTAGTGTTAATATATATAAACATTTAGATTGATAAGCGCCACAGCTCGGCCCAATATTTGATAGATAATTAAGTGAAACTTGAAAAGGTGATAAAGCAAAAAGTTTCGGTAGAGTCGATCAGTGCCGTAACTAGACAGGTGCAACAGGTGCACCCGCACGGGGCCCACTTGGAAGAGGGGCCCAAAATGCATGTATTTGTTTTATTACTTTCCCAAACCTAATTAATTAAGGGGTCTAAATGCAAATTCCCGCACAGGGCACAGGAATGGCTAGTTACGGCACTGGAGTCGATAGATATACTGGTGTTTCAGCTCCGAAATTGCTGTAATGCTACGAAAGTGGAGTAATAAATATTTCTGCCACTTCAAGAGTAGTAATCGTTTTGTGGCGAACGTTTGGCTCGAACACAGTCGTAAACATTCGAAATTCTTTTAAAAATGAAATTTTTCTCGTTTTTAACTCAGATATTACTTTTGTCTTTTTAAAAGACAATTTGTATCAATAAATACTATTTTAATTCGTTTTGAACATTATTCATAAATGTCGCTAATATTTATAATCTCATTAACTGTCATTATCTGCCTGTAAATATGAAAATTAACTCTTAATTCGATATCAGAGTAGGCTATCAATAAATATGCATTCGTATTTTACTTTTAATGGTGCATATAAACTACTAAAATATATAAACACAATGTGAATGTCATAAAAAATCCAATTTCATGTAAATATTTTCCTTTGCAAGCTTTTTATTTTTCAGTATCAAATTATATAATTAATTATGGGGTTTTCATTAATATAATCAACTAGCTTACCCGTTGTGCATTGCTGCGATATCAGAAGAAAGGGAATTCAAGCAAACTCGTTATGATAAAATTCAATTTACATTTTATCATTTTTATTGAAACTTATTATTATTATTTATTTTCATTGGGAAAACATTTCAAAGTGTTGTTTCAATTCTGTTTATTTATTGGAGTGCTTGTGGATACACGATATTTTTTGTTTTTCTGTCTGGTGCGTACACGAATAAATCAGAAGATTTTCGGACGCGAGCTGGCCACATACAGTTGTCCATGCGAGAAGCACGGATTCTCCAAATCTAGCCCACACACTCACAGCAATTGTCAGAAGTGCAATATTTCCCATTTTTATATATATATTTTTAATCCTTTATAATTTTAATTATTTAATTGCTCCTTCCTCTCTTCCTTGGCATGTTGTGAAATTTCTGATAGTTGGATAATAAACCGTTTTATTGTAATTTGTCTGTTTAAATTATTTTGAGTCAATATTAAAATTTGGAAAAGGGGGATTCCTAGATGGGTAAAATAGTCGAATTTCTTCCTACAACTTCGGTTGTTGTTCGGGGTACAGTTAAGGTTTTAATTAACAAAGTTCGAGCGAATACATAATTAGCAAAAAAAAAAAGTTGAAATAAAGTGATTAAACAAAAATTATTACAATGATCGTAAATAACAGTTTACAAATGCATATATAGAGATATTTTTGAAGAGGGGAAATTGTCTTCACAATTTGAAATCGATCGAACACACAGTATAAACGCGCGTCATCTATCATAGGATAAATGTACTATTAACGCGGATAAATGTACTATTAAAATGTATAAATCTTCGCGGGAGTATATAAAACAACTTCCCAAAGTTTCATGGCAATCGGATAAATGGTGTGGTAATGCATGAAGGACATGCAGACACACAGACAGACAGACAGACATACATTCATTTTTATATATATAGATATAAATGAAAGCAAAATAACTATATGTAAACTTCCAGTAAATTAAATAAATGAATTGATTTTTTTGTTAACTTTCTTATCTTATTTATTAATTCATTACTAGATGTTTGCATTTAACTCAGAATTACCAGTACATTAATGGTTTCTGGAAATGATCAGGAGATATTTAAAAAGTTTAAACTACTACTAAGAAAAAAACATTGTATTTTTGTTTTTTCCAATTTTTATATTTAATATATTAGTTTTCTTTGTAGTTTTTGTATTAAAATATTGAAATGAGTTTTTCTGTAATTGTATTTATTTTATGATATGATGTTTGTTTTTATTAACCCCCCTCCCTCCCTTTCAGTGTGGACATCATTTAAAGTCCATTTATGGTCCAGAAAAAATATATTAGTTTAGTTAAATTCACATAGAAGTCTTTATGCAATCAACTTACATATTTCTAAAGTCATAGAAACATTGTCAAACTTAGTACACTTTGTTTATATTTTTGAATCAACTAAAATGCAAATGTTTAAATATCTCGAAAGAAGAAAAAATGGACTTACACCACTT